CTGCTGAATCCAAATGGAGGAAGAATTTCTATTTAAAAATCTATTTGGCTTCTATCCTTAAAACTTGCAGGAAACATAAATGAGTTTCTTTTCTTTAGTAATGAAATTCTGTTTAGAAAGCAGATTCTGAATAGTTGAATGTCTTCATAATGAAAGGGGAAACATATTCAGTTTTTATATGTGAACAAATGATATATAAGATGGTTTATTAAATAATATTGAACTACTATGATTAAGGAGGATAAAAATGTTTCCATCACTGGAAATAGAACTGATAACATATGGAAGTGTATAGTGGCAGGTTACAAACTCACTTTGTCTCTCTTTCTCCTTCCATTGAATCTTTTTTTTTTTTTTAAAGATTTTATTTATTCATTTGACAGACAGAGATCCAAGTAGGCAGAGAGGCAGGCAGAGAGATAGGAGGAAGCAGGCTCCCCGCTGAGCAGAGAACCCGATGCGGGGCTCGATCCCAGGACCCTGAGATCATGACCCGAGCCGAAGGCAGAAGCATCAACGCACTGAGCCACCCAGGTGCCCCAAGGGCTATATGTATAAAATCGATGACAGATTGTCCCTTTTGTCTTTGTCTTGGACTAAAAGATTTAGCATATTACTTTGGAATTTCATAAACTTCCAGTAACCATAATCCTAAACATTACTCAGGAGGCACTAAAATGTACCCTAGAGAATCCCCTGAGTTCTAGACATAGTCTGTCCTACCCACAAAGTGAAGAAGTAACCCAGTTTCCCCTTATTAATACAGATTAATTTCCCAGGCTAGTACAGTAGCTCCCCCTCCACCACCCCTTTTTCCTGTTGATTCAGTAGCGTGGAGAAGCCAGAATGACTAAGTGATCATGTTAACTTCAGTTCCTTGGGACCATCATTGTCTTTCCTGTTGGAAGCATTTCTTTTTGGGGATCGAGCCTTATCAATCAACACAGATTAAAAGTTATAGGGATGGGAAGAAGGCATTATTTTGCTGATGAATCTGCAGTTTGCGGTTGCCTCAGTAGGGGAAGTTCATCTCTGCTCCACTTGGCTTTGTTAGACAGATATCTGGCAGCTGAGGCTGGTGGCTGATTGGGGACACTCAAAGGGCTGAGGCTATAGCTGGAACATGGCTTTTTCATGTGGCTGCTTGGCTTCCTCATCATGTCTAGGGTGAGCATCTCAGGTGTGAGACAGCAGACAGCACCAGGAGGAAGTTATGTCCTTACTATGATTTAGCTAGAGAAGTCACAGAGCATCACTTCTTCCATTCTTCAATGGTCAGAGTAATGACATGCTCCAACATGGATTCATAGGCTTCATTTCTCAGCAGGACTGTCAGTCCAATGTATTTCTTTCATAGAGATTGTAGATCCTTAGATCTCACAATATATTGCTGTATTCTTAAATTGCCAAATTGCTTTTTGAGCAAAGGTCAAGTATGTTGGTTTCTCTCACTTCTCCAGGAGGACGCAGCCATTCCTGACTCTGCATTTTTGCTAGTTGGTTTTTGAGATTTCTCTAATTTGATAGTGAACATGATATTTGTTTTCATTTGTATGTCTGATTACTAATGAAAAGAATTGTTTTTTTATATATGTTTGTCATTTTTCTAAATTGTTTGCTGTCCACTAACATACAGCCAGCATTTTCTTTTTTTCTTTTTCTTTTTTTTAAAGTTTTTATTTAAATGCTATTTAGTTAACATATAGTGTAGTATTGGCTTCAGGAACAGAATTTAGTGATTCATCTCTTGTGTATAACACCCAGTGCTCATCACAGGTGCCTTCCTCAAGCCCCATCACCTCCCGTCCAGCAACCCTCAGTTTGTTTTCTTTAGTTAAGAGTCTTTCTTATGGTTTGTCTCCCTCTCTTTTTTCCACCTTCCTCTATGTTGTTCATCTGCTTTGCTTCTTTTCTTTCTATCTTTTTTTTTAAGATTATTTATTTAATTATTTGAGAGAGAAAGAGAGAGAGTGCATGATGGGGGGAGGGACAGAAGGAGAGGGAGAGAATCCCAAATAGACTCCCTGCTGAGTGCAGAGCCTGACCCAGGGTTCATCCCAGGACCTGGAGACTATGACCTGAGCTGAAACCCTGAACTTGATGCCCAGTTGACTGAGCCACTTACACACCACCATCTGTTTTGTTTTCATAAATTCCACATGAGTGAAATCATATGGTATTTGTCTTTCTCTGACTGAAGTATTTCACTTAGGGTAATACATTCTAGCTCCATCCATGTCATTGCAAATGGCAAGATTTCATTTCTAGCTAGAATTTTCTAATGGTTTACTGTGAATTCCTTAAAATTAATGCGAATGGCCCTTTGTCAGAATTCATTTGATAAGTATTTTCCCAGTTTTTAAAAAATTTAATTTATGAAGTTTGGTTATATACAAAAGTTTCCAGTTTTTTATGTAGTCTTATCTTTTCGTCTTACCATTTTTACCCCTTGACCTAAGAAACTTTAAAAAATTATCTTCTAGTTCATTTGTTACTTTTCTTTAGTGTCAATTTTGCTTTTCATTGCTTTTATTGTGGCTTTAAATTGGCAGTCTGCATTTTGCAGCATTCTTGCTTATTTTATCAATTTCATAGACAGTACCCCTTGAGTATTATAGACAACATTAATTTTACACTTAATAAAATATTCATATGCTTATTTTGAGCAAAGAAAATTTTCTAAAAATTCTTTTTAAGAACGCTGTTTTTCTTCTCATGTTCTTTTTCCCCTCCAGTATCCCATGATTTTTCCTTATATGGCTTATTTTTTTAAAGGAGATCTACATTTACCCAATATTGCTTTATAATTTGTAAAATTATCTAGGAGTCAAGTTGTGATGTTAACCAAATATATCAGAGAGGTCCAACATTCCCCAACCCCAGCCCTAGATCCAGAGTGAGGGAAAAAATAATAAAAAACAATAAGAAAAAAAAATACTAAGAAGAAAAAAAAAATAAGAAAAAGTTATGATGACTACGTGACTATGGTAAAAGCTACCACCAAAATCCCTGCTGGAGTTCCAGCAGCCTGGGGACATAGGAGGGAGCCAGGGCCAGGGTTTATCTGTGGGCTACCATTACAGTGGTTTTCTTCAAAATTTTTAAAAAGATTTTCTTTATTTATTTGACAGAGACACAACGAGAGAGGGAACACAAGCAATGGGAGTGGGAGAGGGAGAAACAGGCTTCCCACAGAGCAGGGAACCCCATGTGGAACTTGATCCCAGGACCCTGGGATCATGACCTGAGCTGAAGGCAGACACTTAACAACTGAGCCACCCAGGTGCCCTGGTTTTCTTTAACTTTTATTACTGAAGCATAGTTGACATACAATGTGATATTAGTTTCAGGTATGCAAAGTAGCAATTTGACAATCCTCTACATTACTCAGTGTTCACCACAATAACTATAGTCACCATCTGTCGTCATATGATACTATTACAATATTATTAACTGTATTCCCTAAGCTGTATTTGTGGCCTAGCATGTGGATTCCATAATCAGGAACACTTTCATTCATCCCCTCCGCTAAACTGAGTCTGTTTCTATCTTGGATGTGGCCTTTTACACCTAGAGCAAGTTACAGGGATTATCTACATTACAGAGAATACTCAATGTTATAAGCATGCAAAAACAAAAAAATCATCAAAGTGACCTAGGTAAAATCAGACAAAAATTACCTCGGATAGGCTTGGACTTTTACCGATGAAGAAGTCAGTGGTAATGCTGGACTTTGAATGAGTGAAGGTGTTTGCAAAGTACCACACAGTCTTTATGGGTATTGTGTGAAAAGAGGATAAGAAAACTCTCTACATACTAATGTATCAGGAGCACCACCCTCGAACTTGAAGGACATGATGGACAAGTATACTGGAATAGACAGAGAGAGATAAATGGTTATGCTTTAAAAAATGAGCTTGTAATATCCTTAGCTAATTCTGCGCATACTTGCTTATCATTCAAAGATTAACATAAAAGTGTAAAAATTTTTACAAAGCTTAAAAATCATTAGATATAGTTTATTCGAGCAATAATCCCCTCAGAATTGGTTATTACCACTATTAATGACTTGCTAGTTAGAGTGTTAATGGCCCATAGCAAAAAACTGCTGGTAATGACTGATTTCAAAGGGATTATTGCTTAATTAATGGCACTCTACCTATCCTTAGTCATTTTTGTAAGTATCATTTTTATTGCCTATTTTAAGACCCTGAACCTTAGTTTATTACATCTGGAAGAATGTCACCAAGGCAGATAAAATAGATAATAATTTTCTGATTGTGGTTAGCTTTGTGGTGTGTGGGCATTTCACTAAGTTATTTCATATTTCTCTATCCCTTGCTAATAAAATGTCACTGTGACTTCTTAGGTGGGTTACAAGAATATAACTTAAAAATTTATGTACTTGGTTTTGAAAGAAAAGAGTCCAAAATATTTCCGAATTAGGGGACACATTTTCGCACATTTCTAATTTGGATTGGATAAAAAATGGGAAATATAAGGCTGAGATAAGATGAAATATTTTCCTTTGAGAACCTTCTCAGTCTATGCAGAGAAAGCTGGGCAGGATTTTGGTTTCAGCTTAGCCTCTAAGTAGCTATTGAAAGTTGAAAGTTTATCAAGTTCCTATATCTCATGGTTCATGTTGCATAATTTGGAAATATACCTTGTAAGACTTGACTCTGAAAGTCTGTAAATAATCTTCTAAGTCACTGGTTCTCAAAGTGTGATCTGGGGACTCTGGGAGTCCCAAGACTCTTTCAGGGAGTCTATGAAGTGAAAGCTATTTTTTATAATAATGCTAAGATGTTATATGCCTTTTCTATTCTTGTTCTGTCACAAGAGTAGAGTGGAATTTTCCTGAAGTTTCAGGGCACATGACACTATTTTGTAGTGACATGAACTGATATTTGGAAGATCTGCAGAACTAAGTGAATTAAGATTTTCTGAATAACAATGCATTATATTGCAAAATTATGCATGGATAAAGGTTTTATTTCATACTAACCTGGCAGGGGAGATACTATGATCACGAAGGCGGTTTTCCTAAGGCGAGGGTTATCCATTGCACTCTGGATGTGCTGATCCCTGCAATTTTCCCAAATGTGGGAAATTCAATTGCATAACTTGTGGTAGCAGGGAATTGTGTTTGTGCTTCCCCCCTATAAAAAAGTATTCATTTTCCTTAAAAAAAAAAAAAAGAATTCTTTCAAAGTGGAAGAAAGACCAATGGATTTTAATGTAGCAGAATATGAAAAGTTTATTGATATGGTTTCAGATTTCACTTAGCAACTAACCTTTGAGAAACTACTACTTGTTGAGTTTTGGCATAGTATCAAAGAAGAATATCACAATTATCTGAAAAAAATTCTTTTAAAAACCCTTCTTTTCCAACTATATATGTAGGAGTCTGGATTTTCTTCAAATACTTAAAATAACATAGAAATAGACTGTAAGCAAAAAGAGATATAAAAATCCAGCTGTGTTCTATTGAGCCAGACATTAAAATGATTTAAAAAATGTAAAATAATGCTTCTTCTGTCACAGAATTATTTTTGAGAGAACATTGTAATTGTTTTCATAAAATAACATTTATTTTAATAGTTAATGGATCTATGTTATCTCAAAATAAGCTAATGAATGAAAAATTTAAGACTTTTAATTTTAATTTCTAATATGGTAAATGTTAACAAAACAACTCACATAAATAAATTCTTTGTGGTCCTCAATAATTTTTACCTGTGTATAAGGATCCTGAGACCAAAAGTTTTGAGAATTGCTGCTCTAAGGCAATTATATTCCTAAAGACCTTTTTGCTGCCTTTGTGAACTTTTAAGAAAATATACTTCAGGCCCTGAAGACAATTTTCAAGAAGAGCTTCTGAAAATGTGTTGAGATATGGCTCATCAATAGAATGAATGTTTGGCTTTCCAAGACAGAGATTTAAATGAGTAAACCTTATTTCGATAGAGAATTCTGATGTGATAGATATTCTGATATGATGTGATAGAGAATTTTGGTATGTTTAATGAAAGAATCATCCTTGTAGTGTATAGATCAGGTCTTTTGGGTTGTCACTGGAAAGTGATAAGTAGTAGTATGTATGAAAGAACAATAAACAGGCTCAACTGAAAATAAAGGAAACAGACAGAAGTGATGTGCTGTTGTTACTTCCAGAAACCTGTATGGTAAGTCCTCAGACCTGACCCTTGTGCTTTTGGAGCTTGGATCACTCCGAGTCCTTAGCCCTGCATCAGTATTGTGGGCAGAAGAGGTTCCTAGTATTTCATTTGGAAGGGACGTGATTTTGAGAATGCACCACAGCAGTCTGTGCACATGTTGGGGGAGGTCATTGAGAGGATGTGACTGCCAGTTGACCCATGAGCTGGACCTGGGTAATCAGAGGCTCATTACACCCTTCCTGTCCATGGAGTATGCATTCTACTTGCCTTCCTCACACCTGGAAGCTGCTCCAAGGGCATAGCCTTGAGATAGTGATGTGTTGTTGAGGTTGTCTGGACAGTGTAGGTGACTGAACCTAGTTAAGCCCTCTGTATAAACTTTAAAGATTCTGGCAGGCAGGTGTGGAGATCTCCTCTTCTTGTGACTGCCCAAGACAAGCCTGCCCTTGCTTATTAAACATGCCACACACCAATCTGGAGTGGTCCACCTCTTTCTTTGGTCTCTCGCTGCCCTGCATGTTTAGGGCCCAGTTTGCAAATCAACACACATGGTAGGATTTTCAGTATAAGTTAATCTTCATCTCTCTCAGAGCAAAGTAGATACGAGAGTGTTCCAGCAGAAGAAAGCATGACCCTCACTCATTTTCTTTTCCCTTTAAGATACTGACTCATCAGCACACTTGAATACATGACACTAGCTCCAAACTGGGACTAAATGAAGAGGAAGCAAACTTTGTGAAGATCTTTACTACCTTGATATTAAAATCTGTTTCTGGAAAGAGAAAGGAAGGTGGAGTGGGAAGTTTGCTTTTTTACTTTCAGCCTGTGTATAATTATAAATGATGAAAAAGAAGATCAACTTCATCATTTATCACACAAAATATTTATGGCTAGAATCCTGTAGAGAGATTTATCTCCTTTTTCTGTGTTTTGGGATTTAAACAGAGTGAAGAAGTGATTAAACAATGTAAGAAATTCATGCTAAGATACTGATCACATAATGTAGTGTGTTACTCCTCTGTAGAGTGTTTGCATTTTAAAAGGGGGCTGAGGTGGGGATCCAACTAAAGTAAGCAATCTGGAAATTTTTTTTTTTTTAATAAAGGAATGGATATTTGTAAAGTGCTAAGCAAAGATTGGACACTACTTTTCATAGTACATGATAGAGGGAAGAGATGAGTACTAAAACATTAATAAAATGAAAAATGGAAAAACAATAAAACAAAAAAGCCTTTGAATAAAATCAGTAGCTGTCTCCATGTATTTGTAGCTGGTTCTAAATTGTCCTCTATCTTTATAAGTATTTCCTTTCATACCCTAGCCCATTGTTCAAACCTGGCTGCGCATCAGAACTATTAGGGGGATCATTTAAATTTTTTATTGGAAAATTAAGCATTTTTAAAAATTTAATTTAATTTTTTAGTGTTTCAAGATTCATTGTTTATGCACCACACCCAGTGCTCCAGGCAATATGTGCCCTCATGATAAAAAAATGTTCAAGTGATTTAGAATAGCATTAAGTAAAATGTGAAATTCTGCCATCCTTATTCCATTCCCCAGGGGTGTTTACCTTTACTTAAACCACTTTTCCTTCCCTTCCTTCCTTCCTTCCTTCCTTCCTTCCCCCCTTCCTTCCTTTCTTCCCCCCTTCCTTCCTTTCTTCCCCCCTTCCTTCCTTTCTTCCTTCCTTCCACACTTCCTTTCTTCTCTCCTTCCTCCTCCCCCCTTCCCTCCTTCCTCAAATATTTATTAAGCACCTACTATATACCAGACAGTGTTTCAATTGTGGAGACACAACGAACATACCAGACAAGATTTCTGCCTAATGGGACTTACTATAACTTTGGAAATAAATGAAAAGATATAATCAGATAGAAAGTAGAAAGTATGAATAGTTACAGAAAAGTAAAAGAGCATAATGGGCGTGAAATGACTGTGGATAGAGGGAGCTAATTAAGCCAGAACCTTGAAAAGTTTCAGCTTTATTTTTTCCATAGTGGTTGCTGCCATAATTCTGGATGCTAATAATGCTTCGTTTCTTAATTTCTCACCTTTAGTCATTACTGACTGATGCCTCATCATGAAAGTTGAGGTATTTAGCTCTACTGTAGTTCCCTACTCTAGCATACCTCTCCCAAGTTTTGCTAGTTATATTAGACTTTTGTCCTTTAGTTCTTTGCCTTTTTATCTTGAAACCTCTTTTCAAATTTTGACAATTTGGACAGTCTCTTTTGACTCTGCTCAGCATCATAAAAACTCAAGTGCCTGGGCTATACTCTAGAGGTGCAAAATAAGTTTATCTGAGGGTTTTTTTTTTTTTTTGAGGCTTTGGAAATCTATATTTTAAAAACAGAAGCTCTCAGAAGATTCTAATGATTATCTGGTTGGAAGCCATCGCCCCGGGCTACATCTTCTCTTGCTCTGGAAATTTGAGTCGATTGCTTCTCCACGTTCTAACTCAGTGCTGCTTTAGATTGGTGCATGCCGTACAGTTCATAGATACGCAACCCAGATCAGTGTTTACAATGCATTTAAAATCCTTAAGCTATGTATTTAAGATATATTTTTACCTCAAATGTAGACACACACGTATATATATATTAAATTTTTTTGTTTGTTTTGCTTTAAGTGAAGAGATACGTAAGATGTAAGATACATAGTTTCATGGCAGTGTAACATCAAGCCAATACGGTCCTGTTTAGGGTGAGGCACCTTATGGGTAAGAAGGAAAATACATAGAAATAATGGAAAGTTGGTTCTCAGAATAGCTGAAAACTTTGGACAGTAGGGGCAACAAGGAGCTCTCCTCAAATAGCAATATTGTCAGTCAGGGCTTTTAGTTCAATCACAGAAGGACTCTATTGATTTTGCATAGAAAAAGAATTTATTAAAACAATTTGCAGTGGCTCACACAATCACATGGAAAGCTGGGCATTAAGGTGAGAGACTGGGCCGCAGCTAGAAATGTTCTCTGGAATCACACAGCAGAGCTGATCCTGTCAGGACAGAGGCAAGGTACTGCTGATGTTTGGCTCCCCCAGTGCCAGTGGCAATGCTGCCATTGTTTACCCCAGGAAGCCCCTGTTACTGCCTGTACCTGTCTCCACTTCCAAAGAGGTTCCTCCAGTTCTTATTCACATCACCAGCTGTAGAGGTAGTCCATGCAGGTATGTCTGCTGAGCTGAACTTGGGTCTCTTTCCACATCCAACCTCAAGAAAGGCTGAGAAGGCAAAGACCCAGCATTATCATCTTCTCCAGTGGGATTACAAGGGGGGACAATTCTCCAAATAGAAGAATCAAGGTGCAGGGTGTTCGGATGTCCACTGTGGGGACTTGGGCTAAAGGGGAACCCAAGGAAGTAGTGTGATGACTGTGAGTGCAATATATCACATGTATCATGAAGGCTGCCAAAATTCGAGTGCTTGAAAGTGTGCCTTGAGCCCCAGAAGGTTGAGAACTACTTCTTTAATCTGTATACCTAGCCATATCTTCTCCTTAAGGTCAAGTTGTAAGAATCAGCCCCTGGAAGGAGGGACTGTGCCTTCTCTTGGCCTGCTGTATCACTCACATGGCATTTGTCAAAGTACAAAAGCCAAAAAACTACCTTGTATGTGGATAGTGTGTGTGTGCGTGTGTGTGTGTGTGTGTGTGTGTGTGTGTGTGTATGGTAGGGAAGGTTGGGCCTATACACTTATTTTCGTCAAAAACAGACCTAAAATAGAACAGAAGATCTGGCAGGAAAGAATCATGTCTTACTCAGGAGATTGTATGAGTTTTTTATGGCTACCATTAAAAAGTACCACAAACTGGGTAGCTTAAACACCAGAAAGTTGTTTTCTCAAAATCTGAAGGCTATAAGTCCAAGATCCATGTGTTGGTATATGTTTTTTTTCCTGAGGCCTCTCTCCTTGGCTTGCAGATGACCACCTTCTTGCTATGTCCTCACATCATCTTTTCTTTCTGTGCACATCCAGTGTCACT